GCCAGGGATGCTCTGTGTCCGCATTCAGAAAGTCTTTTCATGAGCAGAATGGAGTCGATGCGACAGGCGTCTCTATTGGGAGAAGCTAACAACAGGTCATCTGCGTACTGAAGCAAGGTACTACCTCCTGTCAGGACCAAAGTGTCCAGATCTCTCCTCACAGCTGCTGCATACACTGTCGGAGATTCAACAAACCCCTGTGGGAGGCGCGTGTATGTGATTTGTTTACCTTTAAAAGTAAATGCAAACAGATACTGGCTGTCTGGATGCAGAGGAACAGAGAAAAATGCTGAACATAAATCAATCACTGTGTAGTACTTAGAGTCCGGGGGCAGAGAAGCTAAAATCGAATTGGTGTCCGGCACAATTGGAGCTGTCGGAATGACAATAGCATTAATAGCTTGCAAATCCTGGACAAAGCGCCACTCATCAGGGCGATTGTGTTTAGGTATGGGTAGAATTGGAGTATTACAGGGACTAGTTGTGTAAATTAACACGCCCTGATCAAGCAAAGATTGGATGACTCCTTCAATCCCCAAAATGGCTCTATGGGGAAAATTGTACTGTCTGATAGCTGGCAATCTGGCGTTGGCTTTAAGTGTTACTCGATGTGGAGGCGCTGAGGCAACAAAACCCACATGATTCTTGTGTTTTGCCCATAATGTAGCCGGGACTTCTGAAAAATCTGAGGGGGGGCCATACTCTGTGGGGGGGTTTGGTTGTAAATGAAGGAAGGTGCTTTGGGGAAGAGCAATTGGCTCCGCGAGACGCAGCAGGAAATGCTCCCCTCCAAAGTTAATTACGTTAGGTGCGTGTGTGTGTGAGAGAGGGGAAAGTGAGGCTTCCAGCTGGGCCTGGCAGCGGGCTGCCATGGCCCCCACCTCCTTTGGGTTACTGCCTGGCGTAACAGCCACCGTTATGTAGGGGAGGGTTTCTTCAACATGGAGAACCTGCTGGGGTGTTGTGAGTCTGATGGGTAAAGCACATCCTTGTCGGGCAATGAACAAATATTGTTCACTTGTCAACCGATCTGATTTGTTGCAAAAACCTCTTACTGATTGCGCGTAGTCATCTGACGGATTAAAGGCTGCTGTGCAATGACAATTCAACACAGGTCGCATAAGAGACATTAAAGACGCACAAACCAGAGAAATGCTAGCAATCTTCTGAATCCCTGTTGTGGAGAAAACAGAAATCATGTTGAAATCTGGAAATGACCAACAATACAGGTTGTCTCGCGATGATTGAATGAATTGGACTGCCTGATAGACCTTACTGTCAGGAATTGTCAAAAACAATCCGTCTGAAGTGCAATGTATTGTTGCCTGTAATTTACATAGTAAGTCCCTGCCCATTAAATTAATAGGACTTCCATCTGAAATAATGAAAGAGTGTTCCACGTTTGATCCATTAATTGAAACATTAGTGGTCTCTGAAATGGGTTCGGACATAGAAATTCCAGCAACACCGATGGTTGTGACAAATTTATTGGTTGCTTCACACACTTTCTCCTTAGTACGCACGGCAGACAAGGTGGCTCCGCTGTCAATCAAAATATCTACAGCCGTACCACTAAAATCAACGGGCATAATTGGATCTTCACGCGGGTTATTGGAAAGGCGAATTGTTGCTGCTTGAATGGGGAAATGCTGTGAATCTGATCCTATATCTTCCTGGCACCCCTATCTTCTATTAAATCCACTTTGTTGAGCGTTCTGCCCCTGGTTCTGTCTGTCATAACGTGGAGACTGCATTAATGCCAGATGTCCGGACTGCTGGGGAAGGGTAGGTGGAAGGGCGGGCTGGGAAAAGGGGGGCTGGGTGAGGGGGGGCTGTGTAAGGGGGGGCTGTGTGTACTGCTGGACCCCCCACCGCTTATCACACTGTCCTGCCCAGTGATCCGTTGCTCCGCAAACATGACATGGCATCAATTTTTTAGGATTTTTGTTCTACTGCTGTCTGCTCTTATTATGATAATCCTGTGATCTCCCCTGATTTTGATACTGCTGGGTGTGGTTTTGTCCCTGAGTTTGATAAGCCTGGGTGTTTTGAGGAAATTGTTGAAGCAGTTGTGAAATTCTGGGGGTAAGGAAAATGTGGCTCCTATGCAGGGCACGCATTGTGGCGATAGTCATTTTCCAAGATTTAATTTGCCAATCGGGGGTCGACATCATGTACGCCTGAGCTGTCTCTGGGATTAAATTATGTAACAAGGTCTGTATGGCAAACAAATCATTACCCTCTCTTTTAATTCCCGCATTATTGTCCCATACTGTCATGAAACGCTGGATAAATTCTGGGACATTTTCTGCTGGGTCTTGTACACAAGCCGTCACTTGGGAGAAATCTGTGTGAGTTTTAGCGCATGCTCTGATAGCCAATGCAGCAACGTTTTGTATCCACATGTCTCGCGTCTGTGTCGTGGGCCAGTCCCCTGCGGCCGTACACTCAGGAAATTTAAACTCGTCTCTGCACGTGGGCCAATCTGCTTTGTATGTTAAGATTATCAGCTGTTTAACATCATGAACCAAACAGTTATAAACTGAACAAACATTAGTCAACCATGACAGATACTCATCTGGACTTTTAGTGGGACTGGGAGCGTGGTTAGTGACATCAATGACCTCAGCGGGTGTCCAGGGTTTGCAAACTGGAACATCTCCTATCAGAATTTTCGGGGCGGTCACACTTTCTTCAGAATTATTATCCTGAGAAGTTTGCATTGTCGTGTACATTTTACGCTGGACATGTTTTGGAAAACTGGTGCCGTACGGCGAACCTGTGTAATCTTGTAAGAGGAGTGGCGGAGTGCGAGGAGTGGGGGTCAATAGCGGACTGCCATGTGAAACATTCCCCTCCCCCGCTGCTGCCCTCTGCTCGGCGTGTGCCGATTCTAATTCTCTATATTGTCCTGTCTGATATCTCAAACCATTTTTATTCATGATAGCTGCAGCTGTCATTAACAGATCATCATCGGAGTTTCTCGCAACGGGATTTGAGAGTTCTGTCGCGGGAATTATTTTCGTACAGAGAGATACAGCCTGCTTTCCGTCCAACAGCCCTGCGTCTGTCAAAATACAAATGAGCTGAGATGGGGTTGGAGTTTTGCCACTTCTTTTAATCCAATCATAAATTACTGATTTTGCAATGTCTGGAACATTCTCACCGTGTCTTTCCCTGAATCTGGACATGTTTTCTGATCTTACATCAAAAGCAGCCTCTAGGCTAAGCAAATGACAACTTTTTGCACATTGAGAAACTTTATCAATCAGCGCCTTGAGCTCAATGGAGCCTCGCTCGCTGCCAACAGATTTTGCATTCTTCCGCTCCTCATAACCCCTTTTCTCTGCTATAGTCATCCAAGCTTTCACACATTCTGTCATGTATCCTTGATCCCATGAACAATTTGAATTATCTTCCACCAGTTTAAATGCCTGCCACAACACGGCCATATCAAAACTACCTGTAAGAGGCCAATCAAATTGAATCAATCCTTTCTGATTAATCTGTTGTGAGTGTTCGCAAAGTAACGATGTAAACGGCATAACTTTAGACCAATCCAAAGTTCTTCCGACAATTCCAGACGGCATGTTTGGAGAAAACAAATGCGTGTACTGGTTTTCTGCAATTGGGTTTTTTTTAAGTGTCTTTGTGCGTGAAATCGCTTTTCTCTTACCAACTGAATCGTTTGTGGAGGCAGTATTACCCATGTTTAACGGTTAGTACAATAAAACAAACACTGCAATTAGACAAGCAAGCATGTACTCGCAACAAAATCAGCGCCCTGGCCAAAAAATCATCCAGTTTAATTTAGTCCGAAATTACGGAAACCTCAACGGGAGCACTGAAATATCTGTTTAATATGGGCTCTTCTCAGCCATATTCAATCTATTGATGAGCAATAAACTACCTTATTCTCAATCAAAACCACTATGCAAATGTAGTGGTAAAACTGCTCAACCAACCGAGAGCAGAGATTTTTAATTAATTCAGTACTTTTTTTTTTTTTTTTTAAACAACAGCCAATTCAATAATCCGTTAGTTTATTAAACACAGTGTGAATGTAATATTCTGCCACCACCCTTCCCATTTAATAGCTAAATTTAGTTCTTGAGCTCATGGTGTGATTAGCAAAAATACAAGTCTGTGTTCTTAAACATTACTCGTGTGCCGTTCACCACAGGGGGGAGGGGAATTCGCCCTCACAGCGGAAATCGTTAAAAGTCGATGTTCCGAGGTTATTTATTAGCCCCAAATATTCTTATTGTTTTATACATGAGCTGTGCTTGCTTTTGTTGGCACTTGCCCCAGCAGCAATCACAGGAAAAACCGGCCAGGATAGAATCCCCTAGACACCGATTTCTCAGGTTATGATTAAGCCTTCAAATGTACATAGTGGAGAGACCAAAACAAATTGCACTCACGCAGTTTCACAGGTAATTTTGATACCGTCAATCACAGAGTCTGGTAAGGCAGTTGTTCAAATAGATTTGAAAAAAGCACCTACCAGTCTTCTGAAGAAATGTCGGTACTGTTCGTAGACGCCAATTGTGAAGATAAACTTCTGTTGTTGCAATGTTGAGGTAGAATGAAGGAGTCTGGAACGTCATTAGCCAAAGCACTGAGAGTTTTATTGAACACAGTACAGACAAATACGGCCGGGGAGATCACTTTAGTTTCCCACCCTCCTGTGGTCCACCCAAAATCATCTCTGGCCCAAAAGCCCCAAAGCACCCAGCAACACGAGGAGAGGCGGGCCCACAGAAGCCCGCGTTTACCTAATCAATAGCAAATGGGAGACAATAATCTACTTGTCTCAAGGAAACGCAGACAAGCCTGAAACCTTCCCCCCACAGGATATGGGAGAAGCGTTTGACCTGTGACCTCAACTTACAGAGGAGTTTTTGACTGATACTACAAGCAGATGTTTGCAGTATCACAGATTCTAAGAAACTATAAGAAACTCTATAAACAGATCAGATTAAAATATTCTCTTACACCAAACATTTTGCATACACCCCCTTTTTCTGCCAGCAACATATCTAGGGCCACTCTGTTCTGCAAAGACATCTGGCTGGTCTTGTCCAGTTGCTCGCTTAGTCCCTTCATTGCGTCCTTGGAGGGATTTATGAACCTCTGCTGATTGTAGTAGATATAGTTAATCCAGTCCACATTCTTATTTATCGTAGGCCAAAGGAAAATGGATTCCAACCCTGCTAAGATCTGGTTTCTAGCTTTAAACTCGTCTGGAACTCCCCTGGGCACCCCTATGCTGTCTATGTACACAGTGGAATCAAAACTCCCTGGAAAGACTGACCTTTTGGCTCTAGTTGCTTTGGGTTGGACTGCCATGTTTATCAGTTGCTCGGCCGTCATCGGTACTGCATAAAAAGGCATCACTAGCTGTACCAGTGCACAGGTCCCTGTCCAATCCTGTGGTAAAACTGAATACAGGGTTTTAGTGCCACAATACCACCACACATCTGTTCTGGGATACTGTCTAATGGGCATAGTTATACCTGGGAGAAAATCCTGGTTACTTAAAATCGTTGTAGAATTGCACCACCTAAGAGTTCCTACTTCTGTACCTTTTAGGTAGTCCCTTGTGATGCAGTCATACAGTCCCTCGTAAGACGTGAAGTCAGGTGGAATGTCATTTATTTTTACCACTGGATACTTTTGTGCAATGTCGACACAATCTGCTGGGGATTTTTGTCCATAGAGTTTGTACATACAGAGTTGTCCTCTTGGGTTATTGTGGGCGTTAAATGGAAATGGCACTGTTCCCAAACTTGGTCGGGCAGCCGCACAGGCCAGACAGTCCGCCATCTTGCTCTGCTTAACAGAATAAACAACCCAGTCTAACCAATAATTCGTGTCCTCGTATTCTGTTTCCACTGCTATGACTTTCTGTATAGAGGTCGTACTCAGATAGGTGACCAGTGGATTGTTCACAGATTTAGCAGGGGGTATTTTTGGTTCTGGCTGAAGGAGGGATTCAGTATATTTTGGGCGAGATCAGGGATCAGCTGGTGGGTCAATTATCTTCACTAAAATTTATCCCATTGGGTCTTTTCCAGGAACTTCTATCCCCATCAGTAAATGGAATGCAGTGACGTCTCCCTGTTTCTTGAAATGGGGAGTGAGTGCAATCACAAATTGCACTCACAATCCAATTATTATTGGATTGTGTTTGCTCATATCTCCACTATGGCGACCTTTGGAAAAAGATAGCTGAGACCTAAACGCCAAACCAGGGGGATTGTTATTACCTTCTGCCCTTGCACTCCAGTATGTAGAGGAAACTTCTGTGTAGCTATGCAGTGGGAGTCACCGACTCAGGAAGGAGACACGGGAAGAGCAGTAGCTTTGATGTCAAACACATGATGGTTTATTTGGAGTTAACGGCCGGAGGATTCACATCACAAGTCCAAGAGTCAGAGGTTCTGACTTCACGGTAGAGTTGCCACGTCAATTCTGGAGAGCCTCTCTCTTGCCAACCCATCTAACTGGTTTCGCAGAGAGTAAACAACATATTTGAGAAGATAGCCTAAACAATGTGGGAACACTGAGCTACTTGCCTCGGACACCTATGACCTCGAAGATTTCACCTTGGAGTCCACAAATACAGAGAAGGAAGTGTCCCAGTGTACCCACAACACAGACCATCTGTGACCCAGTATTGACCGGTCACAGAATGGGAATAATAACATTATTGGCTAAGCAGCCTGTGTCCTTAAAGAAGGTAAACAGACATCAAGGTTTGTCCTGTATGTTACATCTTGGCGTCTATGACAATTATTTCCATAACACAGTATACCTTCTCTGAACCGGGACACCATGAATTATCATCTGGCCGTCCCCAAGCATGAATGCACCCATAAACGTCATGGCCTGTTTTATCTTGCAGTTCTCCACATACAACCACATCACACACATCAAGACTGACCGTAACCGCTTCACCTGTGGGGATGAGTATTTCCAACCCCTCCTTCAGTCTCTCAGCTGATCTTTTGGCTCTGGGGGTAAATGGAAATGTCCTAAACACAGCTGAAGTTTTGTTAGTGATATTGGCATTTTCTACGAGGGCTCGAATGGATTCGGGTTCTTCACGATGCTGTACCCCCCACCCAACCAGGAAAATGCCAATTGAGATGAACACAGCTAACAATGTTACTACGATTCTTATTCCATACATTTACATAAATGGTTACAATGTATATCGCACTGATCGTCCTAAAAAAGGTGGTGGCGTTACCATTTATGTGAAAAATAAGTTTTGTGTAACAAATATGGTTTCCAAATCGGTTAGTAAACAACTGGAATTTTTAGCTGTGAATGTCGAAGTCACAAAGGGTCAACAGGTCATGGTGGTGGGTTGCTACAGACCCCCCTCAGCTGTCCTCAGCTGTCAAGGACTCCTTATCTTCACTGGCAAAACTGTTATCTCAACTTTCCTACAAGGAAATAGTGCTGCTTGGTGATTTTAATTGGGACTGGTTAACTTCTGTGTCAGAGGACTTTAAAAACCTGTGTACCTCTTTGAACATTACTCAGATTGTAGATAGTCCTACTCGCCCAAACATTAAGTCCCCAAATAAATCCTCCTTAATTGATCTCATTTTAACAAATGTGCCACATAAATACTCATCTGTGGGAGTATTTGCTAATGATGTGAGTGACCACTGTGTTGTAGCCACAATTAGGGACACTAAGATCCAAAAAGTGAAACCACGCATTATCACAAGGAGAGATAAAAAACACTTTGTGGAGCAGGGTTTTTTACACGATCTGTTTGATTTTGATTGGGGTAAGATCAATCTGTGTGCGGATGTAGAAACTGCATGGTCTTATTTTTATCTTGGTTTTATGAAAATTATAGATAAACATGCACCTCTGCGTAATTTCAGAGTGAAGGGTCGAGACAATCCCTGGTTTTCCGCTGAACTGTCCAGTCTCCTTCATGAGAGAAACAATGCCTGGGCTAAGGCTAGGAAATCAGGCTCAGAGGTAGAATGGCTACGCTTTAGGCAGCTAAGAAATAGCTTCACATCACAAATAAAAAGTGCTAAATCAAAGTTCTATTTGTCAGTTACCACAGAAAATCTGAATAATCCTAGGAAATTTTGGAAAGCCATAAAATCGATTTCCACTGGTGATATTCCAAATGAGCTACCTCCATGCCTTACCACAGCATCTGGCTCTATATCAGACAGGGCTACTATGCTCAATTGTTTTAATAAGCATTTTGTGTCTTGTGGCTCGCTGTTTGATTCTGTCACTGACTGTGCTTCTGCTTCTGTGAACGCTCCAATCCTTGAACAATGTGGTCTGGAAAACCCTTTCAATTTTACCCCTTTTACTGTTGGTGTTGTCCATGATGTTTTATCCAAGTTAGATCCTAGGAAACCGGCTGGCCCGGACAACCTAGAACCTTTCTTTTTAAAGATAGCTGTAGATTTTATTGCTCCACCGCTTACTTCTCTTTTTAACCTCTCCCTTAGCACAAATACAATTCCTAAAGTATGGAAGTCTGCTTATGTCTTGCCTTTACTAAAAGGAGGGGAGGCAACTATTTTAAATAACTATAGGCCAATCTCGAAATTGTCAGTTCTGGCTAAAGTGCTTGAACGACTAGTGAGTGAGCAAGTAAAGGACTTTTTATGTATAAATGATATCCTGTCATCCTTTTCTGACTCACCTTTAGTCACCGCTGGGTCACCAGACCTTCCTTCCACCAACACACTAACCTCCTTTTCCCCTCTCTCTCCAAGTGAGGTTCTTACCCTCATTACCTCTGCCCGCCCTACCACCTGTCCTCTGGACCCTATCCCTTCAAACCTCCTTCAGACTATCGCTCCTGATATTCTACCGTTTCTCACCCATTTCATCAACACTTCTCTAACTTCTGGTCACTTTCCAAACAGTCTCAAGGAGGCAAGAGTAAACCCTCTCCTAAAGAAACCCACTCTCAACCCGTCTGATGTTATAAACTACAGGCCTGTCTCTCTCCTCCCGTTCCTGTCTAAATCACTTGAACGCGCTGTCTTTAAACAACTCTCCTGTTATCTCCATGAGAACAACCTTCTGGATCCGCACCAGTCTGGTTTCAAGGCAGGTCACTCCACAGAAACTGCTCTCATTGCTGTCACGGAGGAACTGCACACTGCCAAAACTGCATCCCTCTCCTCTGTCATCATCCTGTTGGACCTGTCTGCTGCATTCGACACGGTGAATCATCAGATCCTCCTTCGCACTCTCCAAAAACTTGGAGTTTCAGGCTCTGCACTTTCCCTCCTCACCTCATACCTGAAAGACCGTACCTACAGGGTGACTTGGAGAGGGTCTGAGTCCGACCCTTGTCAATTAACTACGGGGGTCCCTCAGGGCTCTGTTCTTGGTCCCCTCCTCTTCTCCTTGTACACAAACTCGCTCGGATCAGTCATTAGCCCGCATGGTTTTTCTTACCACTGCTACGCTGACGACACCCAATTAATTCTGTCCTTTCCCCGCTCAGAGACCCAGGTCGTCGCACGCATCTCTGCTTGTCTAGCTGACATCTCTCAGTGGATGTCTGCTCACCACCTCAAGCTCAACCTTGACAAGACTGAGCTGCTCTTCCTCCCGGGAAAAGATTGTCCAACTCTTGACCTGACAATCAACATCGGCACCTCAGTTGTTTCCCCGACTCAGACTGCAAGGAATCTGGGTGTGACCCTAGATAACAACCTGTCCTTCACTGCAAACATCGCTGCTACAACCCGCTGCTGCAGATACACGCTTTACAACATCAGGAAGATACGTCCCCAGCTGACTCAGAAAGCGACTAAGGTTCTGGTCCAGGCTCTCGTCATCTCACGCCTAGACTACTGCAACTCCCTCCTGGCTGGTCTACCTGCATGTGCCATCCGACCTCTGCAGCTCATCCAGAATGCAGCGGCTCGTCTGGTTTTCAACCTTCCTAAATTCTCCCACACCACTCCGCTCCTCCGCTCCCTTCACTGGCTTCCGGTAACTGCTAGAATCCTCTTCAAGACACTGGTACTTGCTTACCGTGCTGCGAATGGATCTGGCCCTTCCTACATCCAGGACATGGTTAAACCGTACACCCCAGCGCGTGCACTACGCTCTGCATCAGCCAAACGACTCGTTGCGCCCTCGCTGCGAGGGGGACCCAAGTTCCCATCGGCGAAAACACGTGGGTTTGCTATCCTGGCTCCAAGATGGTGGAATGAGCTCCCCATTGACATCAGGACGGCAGATAGCTTGCACATCTTCCGGCGCAAACTGAAAACTCATCTCTTTCGACTCCACTTCGAGCGTTAGAACGATTAACGAAGCACTTTTATACTAATAAAGGACTGGATTACCTAAAGCCAGTTGAGTAGCACTTGAAATGTTTGGCTCTATGAAACCTGATATACTTATATGATTCTGTTTTCTTCAAGGTTGTGTCTTCCTGGTCGAATGTACTTATTGTAAGTCGCTTTGGACAAAAGCGTCAGCTAAATGCAATGTAATGTAATGTAATGTAATGAAACATCAGTCGGGCTTCAGGAAAAAACATAGCACCATCACTGCCACAATGAAAGTTGTAAATGACATCACTAGTTTTTTAGATAATAAGCAGAGTTGTGCAGCTCTGTTTATTGATCTCTCTAAAGCGTTTGACACCGTTGATCATCGCATTTTAAAACAGAGGCTACTCAGCATTGGCTTGTCCAGCCTTGCAGTGGGGTGGTTTGTGAACTACCTCTCTGAAAGGTCCCAATGTGTACACTTTGATGGGCTCACTTCTGAGTGGTTGAGCATTTCTAATGGTGTACCTCAGGGTTCTGTTCTAGGTCCACTTTTATTCTCTATTTATATTAATAGCTTGGGTGATAATGTGGAGGAAGCTACCTTACATTTTTATGCGGATGATACTGTGATGTATTGTGCAGGTACCTCAGTTAAGGAGGCTGTTGTTAAATTACAGACTGTTTTTAACACTGTTCAGACTCAGCTCTCAGCGCTTAAGCTTCTTTTAAATGTTGATAAAACCAAGTTAATGCTCTTTTCAAAAGCTAAAAAGTCACCAGAGCCTGTTTTAGATATTGTAACCATGCAAGGAAAAAAACTTGAAGTGGTTACCTCTTACAAATACCTTGGTATCTGGCTTGATGACTGTCTTTCTTTTAAACTGCATGTAAATAACCTGCTTAAAAAACTGAGGGTTAGGCTAGG